TGAATATGCACATAGTTTACTCTGGCTTGCCTATTTCCATTGCAAGGCTCTGTTTCCAAATGAATACGTTTTTCTTGTGGAGAGCCTCTCTCTGTTGTTATTTAGGTTGATGAGAGAAATGTGAACATTTGAGAGCTCAGGTAAAAAGCCTTAGTTTATATTTAAATTTTTTTTCACCTTTAGTTGCTTACTTCCACTACAACTTGCAGGTGGGCTTTGAAAAGTTCTTGGAATAAGTTTGAGCTTTGATCTTGTAAGGTTCATTTAGCAGAGATTCTCAAAATGTGGTCTCTGGACCTGCAGCATCAGCATCACCTGGAAGTTGTTAGAAATGCAAATCATCGGGCCTCATTCCAGAGCCTGAGCTGGAAACTCTAGGGGCAGGGCCAGACCCTCTGTAGCTGAACAAGCCATCCAGGTGGTTTTGATGCAGCTAAAGTTCTGGAATCACTAATGTAGCCCCATGTTGAAAACTTAGCTGTACAGGCCTCCCTAGCTGGTAAGATGCCAGCATTTTTTGTTTGTTTGTTTTGATACAGGGTCTTGCTCTGTTGACCAGACCGTGACCTCCTGGGTTCAAGTGATTCCCCACCTCAGCCTCCTGAGTAGCCGGGACTACAGGTATGCGCCACCACCATGCCCAACTACTTTTTGTACTTTCTTTTTTTTTTTTAGTAGAGATGGAGTTTTAGCCCAGGCTAGTCTCAAACTCCTGGACTCAAGCAATCTGCCCGCCTTGGCCTCACAAAGTGCTGGGATTATAAGCATGAGCCACTGTGCCCGGCCCCGCTAGTTTTGTATAAGCTGAGGAGTTTTTAGAAATACCTAGACTCAGGGCAAACCTCAGACACTTAAATCAGATTCTCTGGGAGGTGAAGCCCAGGCACTGATATTTTTAAACTCTCTACAGATGGTTCTCATGTGCTGTCAAGTTAGAGAACCGCTGATCTAGATCAGGGCTTTTCAAACTTTAATGTGCACGTGAATTACGTGAATTACTATGAATTAGTCTGCATAGGCCTGGGGCAGGGCCTGACCTTCTGCATCTTTATCAAGTCTCTAGGAGATGCTGCTGCATCTGGGCTGCTAACCACACCTGGAGATATGAGGTTTTGGAGAGAAGAGAAAAGACCATGAACCATTAACCTAGGGTTTGGTAGTCCTGACTTCCGAGCCAAGGTCTGCCTTTACGTGGCTGGCACCTTGCTTGGACTCCTACCTCAATTCTTTGGGCCCAGGGTTTGTCCTGCCTCAGAAGGATGTCAAGGAAATTGAGTGAGTAATGCAGAATTGTTTCTTAAATTGTGTGCAAATGCTCCGTGAATTTAGAGAGTATGTGGATGCACATTACTAAACTTTAATAGTTGTGAACATGTTGTTATGAGTACTTAGAACAAGTAATAATGGCTTTTGATGTATAGTAGTAATAAAACTTCCTTTTAAAAGGCATGTATTTAAGTTTCAAAAGTAGGGCTATTTAAAAATTATGAAATAAATAATAGTAGAGGTAATTGACAGAGCAAAATTATGAAGGCAGGATGAGAATGACTCAAGTTTGGAAAATGCTGAGAAAGCAGATGCCCAAGGGCTATGAAAACTTAAAATAGGTAGCACTTGATTTTGATTGGCTGAATGAGATGATGTGTTTGATCATTTATGGGGTTGACATTTGGCAGCATGCACTGGGTGGCTGGGATCACTGTTTATTAAAAAATATTTGAGTGTCTACTTTGCACTAGATACCCTTTTAGTCTCTTGGGAAAGGGATTGGGAGGGGCAGGCAGGACAGAAACAAATAATGTATGCCCACAAGAAAATTGCAGGAAGATAAAAGCTTTGAAATAAACTCTGTGCTTCTAATTTAATATTTTTTCTATAAATTATGAGAAAAAAGTTTTGCTCACTGTCAGCTAGGAAAGCTGTCTTCGCACAACCATTCATTCTTGCACAAATCAAAATCAAGAGGAGTCGGAAGGCTCCATTCTGACAACTTCTAATGGAGAAGCTAAATTTACTGGACACGGGGAAAATTGCTGGACTCTAGAGCCTGTGCTCATTTCTTGAACTAGATAAATGGTCTTGGTGTAGCATAATACCAAAACGTCTTGTCGCAGCCCATAAGGACAAAACTCAATGAGCCTGAAAAAGAAGTCAGTGACTTCGGCTCAACATAAGAATGTTCTATGATTCCTAAAGAAGGATGTAGGAGTGTGGCACAATTCAACCATAGTCTGTGGCCCTGTGCCTCAGGCTTGACATGAGTGGGATTTCCCAGCTGGTCATTTTCTTATCTATCTAAGACATTGGGAACAAATTACTTGACCTCCTGTGGGCTTCAGTACTCCCACTCATCAAATTACAGGACTGGGCAGTCGCTAGGCTCTCTTTAGGCATCATAATTTAGTTTCCGTGATTTTAAATTTGAGAAGGGGTATCTAAGGGAGAATACACAGGGGAGGGGGAAAGGCTTATTAAAAGTGTAGTTAGACACTGAATTTTTAAGAATTGCGTTTTGTAACAACACCTTTACTTAATCAGGACTGATAATCTTACCTGATGATAGTACCTGGAGGAATGGTTGCATTAAAAAATGAAAATGAAATAAAACAAGACCTTATTTGAACTTAGCAAAAATGCTGATTCCTCTTTTTGATTTGAGAAGGTTACAGCTGTTGTAAATGCTTGAATTGGGTCTGCCCAGGCAAGATAGAGTCAAGAGTCCATGTCTGATGAATTTAAACAATGTAGACAATAAAAAGGGTTGCTTAAACTGCCCCTCTTTTACCAAAACACATTTGCAAATGAAAGAATAACACTTTCATTTTTTAAAAATAAATTTGAGATGAAGTCTTGCTTTGTCACACAGAGTGGAATGCAGTGATAAGATCTTGGCTCACTGCAACATTTGCCTCCCAGATTCAAGTGATTCTCCTGCCTCATCCTTCCAAGTAGGTGGGACTACAGGCGCCCACCACCATTCCCACCTCATTTTTGTATTTTTAGTAGAGACAGGCTTTCACCATGTTGGCCAGGCTGGTCTCAAACTCCTGACCCCAGGTGATCCGCTGACCTCGGCCTCCGAAAGTGCTGGGATTACAGGCGTGAGCCAATATGCCTGGCCAAAACATTTCCATTTTTAATTGCAGGGTCTGGGGAATTAAAATGCATCCATAATTTCTTGCGTCTCTCTGCTCAGGCTTGCATGAATGCACAGGGATGGGGAAGACTTCTTAGGCAAGCATCCTCCTCTTGTCACCTGCCATCTGGAGAGAGAGGGCTGTGATTTATCTCACTTTAATCAGGAAGGACCCAACGGGAGGATGGAGAGGTCTGATGGCTTTGTTGCTCCAGGTGGGAAAGAAACGGACAGAGTGAATTTGTGTATGATCCCTAAGGAGAAAGTGTCTTTGTGCTGTATTTCTTTTTACCTGGAGACCCTGAAAGCAAGCTAGTTACAAGTTGAAATAGGCCGGTTCTAAAGTGTGATTTTGTTTGTGTTTGGGTCTTGATTACAAAGGAAAAACAAAACAAAACACTTAATTTACATACACCAGATGTAGTGCAGGATCCCCTGGGCTATCTTTTCAGGTATCACGGACCTTTGATGAAAGTCACCTTCTCATCCAGGAGTCATTTCCTATTGTTTAGCAGAGCCTGATATTAACATTTCCTTCCAACTGTTTGCTGGAATCTGTGTGTTTCCTTCAAGTGATGCATACGAGGTGCACAGGCTTCCTGCCACTGTCATCCTAATCTTTCTGTGGACACAGAGGAGGAGAAGGGAGACCGCAGAGCCAGGCCCCAGCTCGCTTTTCTTTCCTGACTCAGTCCGGCTCCTCTGCACTTCTCAGCTCTTGCTGTAGGTGGTGATGTTTGACCATTTTCTTCATGTGAACCTCCACACGGTAATATAAATGCATTCAGAGGATGACCTGGTATCAAAAAAAAATTCCTTTTGATTAGTAGAGTCTACTTATTTCTCCACACGATACTCTTCCCACTGAGACACATGGAGACAATTCTGACTCCTTTAGGTTTGCAACCTTGAGATTTCTCTCAGATGCAATAAAAAAAAAAAAAATCAAAGCATTTTGAGTGGCACAGTGGTGCCTAGTGCCCGATCATGTTTGTCTGCTCAAACATAAAAGGGAAACTGGTGGGTTTGAGGATGCCCAGCAGCATGACAGCTGCCAGTGTAAATGAGCAGTGTAGAGAGACGGGAGGCGGGAAGGGACTACAAACTTCAGAATGTGAGCTGATCGTTTATACATTTTAAAAAAAAAAAAAAAAAGTCGAAAAGGGAGCCCAGGATGGTACAGGAAACAGGAGAAGGGAAGATTTGCCTTACAGTCAATCAGGAGAGTCCGTAAGGGCTGATTACATGTGTGAAAGCCTTCAGTTCTTTTTTTAAAAAAATGTGAAAGTTTGCACGTATGTATGTGTGTATGTATAGCTCCGTGTATTACCATTATTGCAATCAGCAAATGGATTTACTTCCTTTTTCTCATGGGCCCCTTCCCACTCACTCCTGGCAGTCCTTTTTCCTTTCTCCTTCATCCCAGAACACTAAAGAAGAGATGCACTTCCTAACCCTGGCTCCAGGGGACTTTATGCAATGTAAACAGTGCATCTCTACAGTGGCTCACTGCTTAGAGAACATGCGTCCCATTTTAAAACTGTGACTCCTTTATATTTTGCAATGCTTATTTTAATAAGAGACATTGGACTTGTGACTTATTTTTCATGGAGGACTGAGCTTAATGGCTGAAAGTAATCGATAAACTTGTTTTTCCTCCGATGCCATCAGTCAAGGTCCTATGGCAATAGTAAGAGGATGACACTGGGCTGGCACCCCCTCCATAACATATTTGGACCATTTTCCCCCAGAATGCACATGCAATAGCTTTGGTCTGGAGCGTTCTGGCAAGAGAGAGATGATGTACTTGGTTTCCTTCTGTCACACTTTTGGTGAAATGAATTAGACTTTTAAATCAGGAAACTCAGCGAGATGAGTTAGATTTTTACACAAGAGCAGTGGAGGACTTCCAGCTGGTTGGGGGAATGATATGGAAATATCTTGCTAAATCAGGGTCTGGTGGAATGTTGCTCCCCTGGCAGGCTCCTCTTCACAGGGAGCAATCTGTGGGTTGCTTATAGAACAGAGCGAGCAGGAGGCATAGCATGGTCTTGCTCATGGGAAGACCTGGTGGTTCAGATGTTTGTCATTAGGAACTGGGTGTGGGCTTTTTCTAGTTAAACTGAAGCAGCAGTTCTATTAGGAAGAGCCTCCCAGATCAGCATCTTCTGTTTCTGGATACTCTCCCTTTGAAAAGCCAGATTTCAGCAAAAAGCATTGCTAATGGTGAAATTGCACAATTGAAACCCTATGGGAGCAATGGGAAAGATGGAGAAAGAGGTGGTTATATCGTGTACTTGAACAGTTTATTTAGAGGCTGTTGACATTAGAATAACAGCCAAGACAAACGAAAATATTCATTCTGGATGAAAATATTGTCTTTTCATGTTATCATAGATAGCTGAATCCTAAGAGTTATACAGAAACACATTTTCCTAATGAGTGGCTGATTTTTTCTGGTTGTGCAAGTAAGATCCAAATTATTATACAAATTTTTGACTCAGGAGCAAACATTGTATTGCACATTGAGCTAATCACTTACCCTTTCTGAGGTAAGCCCTCACTTCTGCTTTCCCTTCATCTTGTCATTTCTGCTTGTTGGGTATAGGTTTCCTGTTGGTTCTTTCTATTGGCTCTGATGTAACATGAATGAAGCTCTTAACATCCTTTCAGACATAAACACAACTTAGCTCATTGTTTCTGAGTTCATATGGAGGTTTTCTTGCCCCTGAGACTTTCACATCAGACAGCTGGATGCTGCTGTGTTCAAGGCTCTATATGTTGATTTTGTATCCTACAACCTTACTGATTTCACCTATTAGTTCAGTTCTAACAGTTTTCAAATTTTATTTGTTTTTGTTTTTTAAATATTGTGTATTTCATTTTAGAGTCGGGGGTAGATGTACAGGTTTCTTGCACAGGTATATTGCATGGTGCTGAGGTTTGGGCTTCTAATGATCCCACCGCCCAAGCAGTGAGCACAGTACTCGATAGATAGTTTTTCAACCCTTGCTCCCACCATCCTTCCCTCCTGCCTTTGGAGTCTCCAGTGTCTATTGTTTCCATCTTTGTGTTGAGTTCTAACCTTTTTTTAGTGAAGTTTGTAGGGTTTTCTATATATAACAAGATCATGCTGTCAGCAGAGACAATTTCACTTCTTCTCCTATTAAGATGCCTTTCATTTCTTTCTTTCGCCTAATTACCCTGAGAAGGGGTGTCTGTGGGCATTCTTGTCTTGTTTCTGATGTTAGAGGAAAAGTTTCAACTTTTCACCATTGATTATGGTGTTAGCTATGGGTTTGTCATATATGGGCTTTATTTTGTTGGGATACAGTCCCTCAATACGTGATCTGTTGGGTTTTTTTTTTTTTTTTTTTCACCATGAAAGGGTTTTGAATTTTGTCAAAAGCTTTTTCTATATCTGTTGAGATGTCCATATAGTTTCTATCCTTTATTTTTCTAACATGGTGTATTATATGTATTGATTTGCTTATGTTGAACCATGATTTGATTATGGTGAATGATTCTTTCAATGTGCTGTTGAATTTGGTTTGTTAGGATTTTGTTGAGGATTTTTGGATCTATGTTGATCAAGGATACTGGTCTGTAATTTTCCTTTCTTGTAATATTCTTGTCTGGCTTTGGAATCAGGGTAATGCTGGCCTTGTAAGATGAGTTTGGAAGTGTTCCCTCCACCTCAACTTTTTGGAAGAGTTTGAGAAGGACTGGTATTTGTTCTTCTTAAAATGTTTGGTAGAATTAATCTGGGAAGCCATCTGGTTCTGGGTTTTTCATTGATAGGAGACATTTTCTTACTGATTCAACCTCCTTGCTTGCTATTTGTCTGTTTAGATTTTTAAATTTCTTCATGAGTCAGTCTTGGTAGGTTTTATGTGTCTAGGAATTTGTCCATTTCTTCTAGATAATCCAGTTGGTTAGTATTTCTTAGGATCCTTTGCATTTCTGTGATATTGGCTATGATGTTTCATCTTTCATTTCTGATTTTATGCTATATTGAAAACATGAGGCATAGCAGAGAGGGGGCACTGCTCAGGACTTGGGATATAAACTGGCAGATGTTAAGGTGGGTGATTCTGGTTAACTCAGAAACTCCAAAGTCCCGTGTGGAAGAATTAACTGCCTGTACTCTCCTAGTAATGTATATCCTTGGTCAAAAAAAGACTCAGTTGAGAATGTTGGATGAAGGGACCAAATCAATATTCATCATTATATTGAAAACAAGTCAGATTGACTGTGGTCTTTTGACAGCAGGCCAGTGGCTGAATCTATTAGAACAAAGTTAGGGCAGGTTCAAGGGAGAGTACTGAGATCGGTATTCTTTGTTTCATGCAACCTTGCCTTTCAGTTTCTTCTCCCCATGCCTCCAGGATGTCCCTGCACAGCCTGTAGGGTCCCTTCCTTCAGTACCTTGCCTTACTAAGGGGAGAAAATGAGTTTCCCAATGGTAGCATATATTTAGCCTTCCAAGATTTCTATTTCTATTTTAGGGGAGCTCTAGGAAAAGAGCAGATTACTCTAAATCCCCAGGTAAAAATCTGAAATAGTGGAATTTCATATGACCAGGAGACATATTTTGGGGCAAGGGAGCTTTTCACAATCACCTGGACATTCAGGCACCTGCTTCTTCAATGCCTAAAATATGCCTTCAATTTAGTAGGTTAATTCCTCTTCCTCTTTTTCAAATTTCAAGACAATACGTGTAGTGACTGAACAATTTGAATACAAGTTTCACTATTTAACTGCCAGTGTGACCTTGGGCTAGTCACTTAATCTTTTCAAGGCTCAATGTCATCATGTAAAGTGGAAGTACAAACAATCCCTGACTTACAATATTTTGACTTATGATTTTTCAACTTTAAGAGAGTTTGAAAGCAATACACATTCAGCAGAAGCTGTACTTTGAGTACCCATACGACCATTCTGTTTTCTACTTTCAGTACAGTATTCAGTATATTACATGAGATATTCAAAGCCTACTTTATTATCAAATGGGCTTTCTGTTAGATGATTTTGCCTAACTGTAGGTTAATGTGAGTGTTCTGAGTGTGTTTAAGTTAGGCCGAGCTAAGCTATGGTGTTTAGTAGGTTAAGTGTATTAAATGCATTTTCAGCTTACAATATTTTCATAAGTTTACTGGAATATAACCCCATTGTAAATTGAAGGGTATTTGTAATAATGATATCTCTTCAAGGGGACTTTGTGAGCCTCTCATGGGAAAATGCATACACAGATGCATATAAATATGTAATCTTTCTTTTCCATACCTAGGATGTTCTTTAAGGATATTCAAAAATCTGGAAACAGTTGCCTCCAGGGAGATAAATGGTGGTGGGTTGGGAAACTTTTAACTGTATACCCTTTTGTACCTTTTGAATTTTGAATCAGATGAATGTATAATCTACATAAAATATTAAGATTAAAACATCACTGAATAACTTATCAGGAGTTTGGTAAACATAAAGGAAGGCCACCGTATGGTGACTGTATTTTATTCAGTGCGGGTCACTGTTGGGCACTTCATAGAGCTTATTTCGTTTCATCCTCACAAGTGCCATAGGAGGAAGGGGCCCCAAGGGATTCATGGTTAGCATAGCAGAGTAGGAGCATTTGGCAGCTATATTCCATGTAGGTGATAACTTTAAAGATATTTTTGTTATAAAATGTTTCAAACATACAAAAAATATACAGAAGCAGTTTTCTTTAGTTATTAAATGTTTTTAATGGGTAGTCATAGAAATTATCATCCAAAGTGAGATATTCTTGAGAGAAAAAGGAGGTTCTATTGATAATTATGGTGGGATAACAAACTTCAGATGAACAGCTCTAGACAAACTGGGTTGTATGGTTCCTGGAAAACAAGGAGTACTGTAAATGTGAATCCTGCCTTGTGCTTCTTCCTGGCCCACTTTCTCTCTCTCCCACCGAGAAAATACGATCTTGATAGAGATATTCATTGTGGCAAGGCAACCATGGCAAACATGATCTAGATACACCGTTCAAGTTTTTTTTTTATTATTATACTTTAAGTTCTAGGGTACATGTGCACAACGTGCAAGTTTGTTACATATGTATACATGTGCCATGTTGGTGTGCTGCACCCATTAACTCGTCATTTACATCAGGTATGTCTCCTAATGCTATCCCTCCCCCCTCTCTCCTCCCCATAATAGGACCTGGTGTGTGATGCTCCCCTTCCTGTGTCCAAGTGATCTCATTGTTCA